ATATCCTATGGCTATTAGGCATGGAAACTTCCTATGGAATATCCATTACTCATTCCCTTTGCTCTAAACACAGCCTGTCAGAAAAATGACTGGCAGGGGTGGGTGCCGAGGAAGCCAAACTTAAAAAGCAGGAAAAAGCAGAGACAAGTCAACTAACTGCAGATTTACACCTTGTTTTCAATGGCTTCTTTCATTTAATTTTTTCTGACTATTTAAATTAGCAAATACACTGGACCCAGGAGGAAAACAACATGGGAAGAAACACAAATTGAAAGCCGTGCAAATCTCTGTGACCTGCCGTGTTTGGTCAAGGGTATGACTAACTTATTGGGTCCTTGTGTTTGAATATCTGAATGAACCGTGGTCTGTTTTTCATTACTTCCCATCCGGAGCTGTTGCCTGCTTTGTTCAGCAATTTCTGGCCCTTTCGGCCTGATGGTGACAGTTTTGTTTTATGTTGTGGTATTTTACAGAACTAAAGCAGCCACAGACACTGCCCAAGAAAAAACCATCTTGAACACGAGGGGTTCTGCTGAAAGAGTTCCTGTGACCCTTCCCAACAGAGAGAGTGCATGTTTATCTGGGCCTGCCTACTGTCCAGGATGCACAGGGTGTGGCTGGGATGCCGCAGGGGACAAAAGCCCTTCCTTTAGATGCTAAGATAGAGTCAGAGTCCAGAGTGGCCTTATACATCAAGGTTAATTTTGACGCCTTTTCTTTTCATCTCCTAGGAGACAACTTTCTCATAACTCACTAAACACTGACTCGGATGTAATAAACTGCATGTGTAACAGCTCATGAAAAACTGAACTCGCATCTTTAAAAGCAAAAATAAATAAATCCTGCCTTCATAATGTTTGGTTTTAATTGCATAGTCTTAGTCTGGAGTCAAGACAGCAAACGATTCCGGAGTAAGTGTCTGGCAGAAGGCCAAATCTGATTTGCATTGTCTAAGCACAGGCTCAGTGCTCTTGGGGACTTCGAAAAGCCACCTCACACACACTTTGTACTTCTTTCCTTGAGAAAGCAATAGTCAAGAAGAACTCAATGTCTGTCTATTATTTAAAGAACCAAAGCATAGCATTCTCTCCTAATTCATTGCTATTTTCATCAGACATTATTTTACGAAAACACAGAAACATACTTTCATGAGGTACGTGGGCTTCACAGAAAGAACCACCAAAATATAAATCTAATAGAAACCAAATAAATGTAATAGTAATCTATCACCCATATTCCTACCACCTTAACAAAAAGATTTTTGTTTTGCTTAATATTGCTGGTATTTTATGGGACAGCCAACACACTAGGTATCATTGAGCATTATCCATGTATTAAGTCATTTACTCATCGAGTCAGGCCCTATTATTTTTAAGATGGGGAAACTGAGGCACCCAGCAAAAACGAGTAATTTACCATGGTTTGCACAGCTCCTAAGCTATAAACCAGGCAGTCTGGCCCCACTGTAGACATAACCATAAGCAATCCTGACTTTTAAATACTTATACATCACCATATTTATAGTACACATTATTTTACATACTTCTATATTCACTTAACTTCCCATAATAAACATTTTCACAATTTGACACTTCAGTCCTCCTGCCTATACTTATAATGGGGATACCATAGTTGTATATGCTCCATAAGCTAACATTGCAATGTTACCTGTATTTGTTCCAGTACAGAGAATGAAAGAGTGCTGAGAGGGTGCATACACACACATTTTAAAAACTATGCTTGAAAAAAAAATATTTGGGGTAATATTCTCAGTGGAATTAGTGTTAATAGTCTGCCCTTTACTGCTCTCTTCATACTGACTTTTTAAAAACCTCTATCAATTTAGCATGGCCCTAATGAAGAATGATGGGCCAGTTTTCCAGTAACCATCACTGGATGGCCTGCGTGTTATAAAGTCTGCTACCTGAGTGGGTAGGAACTGTCACTGCAAATTGCTTTAATTTACATGTTTACAATGTTGCCTGACTCTCCCTGAGGATATTATTCCTTTATTTCTTTGCAGCCCTCACTAGTGTTTTTGTGTTTTTATTTTTTTCCTCTAACATCCTTCTCCCACTGGTCCTGTAAGCGGGAAGTTCTCCTAGCTCCTAGCTCCGTATGATTTTGCTCCTACCCAAAATCTCCAGTTTAGAATCTTACACCATAAAATGTTACAACCAATGAATCTTCATTGTCACTGTGGTCTTCAGGCCCCTCATATCATGCCTCCTATTCTCCACAAATACTTTCTGGATCACTTTTTCTAATACTCTGCTGTCTTTGATTCTTGGCTATTCCAATAGATATTTCAATGGTGGTTTCAAAGCCCTGTTTTACCAGTTCTGTGAACTCCTCAATGATGCCCTATCTTCCTCCCAACTTAGCAGCTTGCTCCCATGCCATCCTTCACAGCTATAAACAATTTTCTACTAGCCCCCTTGTAGACAGCCAAGCATTCCCCCACCACATCCCTCTTTGAAAATAAGTTCTCTAGATGACACAGGGCCTGACTGCATTGGGTTTTAAAGTCTCTTTGGAGAAAGAAAGAAAATAAGAACTTACAAGACAATGTGGGTAGGGGTGTTAGGAATTGATGGTATTTATCCAAATCTACCCTCTCTGTTAAGAGATTATTGCTTGCAGAAACTCTGACAACTCTTTTCAGTTACATCTTTTACTCTTCAAACCCCCAGTTTTTCCAGATGAGCAATTTACCTTTTTGTGGTCACTAATAGTTGATGGAGACAAGAGATATCTGCATCTTTAGCAAAACTTTGCACAGTGAAAGATCCCTTCATATCTACCACTCCAATTACCATGTGATGGGTTCTGAACATCTACTGACACTCACAGACATTGCTTATCTGTGAAACTTTCATACTTTTGATTGATGCTAGAATAATTATTATTGACTGCTTGAGTTGGGTACCTCAATTTTCTCTGGTTGTATAGGTATTTTTACCCAAAAGACTTTGGAAAAGTGTTGGACATGTCTGGAAGCAATGGAACTAGCATTCTAATGCTTCTCACGTACCAAAGGCTTCCCACTGGCCAAAAGCCAAGAGTATCCCCTGGTCATGGCTCAGCTTTGTTCTTGTATGTGCTCCAAGATTCAGCTTTCAGCTTCCCATGCTAATGTACCCATCCTTGTACCCCTTCTTCAAGTTACCCTTTGGTGTTATCACCTGCTCCCTTGATTTCAGTCACCATGGGTAGCTCTGAGCATTCTTGTAGCTTCCTCTCATGCAGCTTCCACATAGACCTTATGCCTAGTTCAGCATGTCCAATACCGAACTCATTGCTTTTTCACCAAAACATACTTCTGCTACTTCTGGACCTCTAACCTCAGTAAATGGTACAGCCATCTCTCCCAGTCATGAAAGCTCAGTGCGCAGTCTTCATTTTGTGATTCCTTTCCTTTCACCTTTATAGAGAATATTCAATTTTACCTTTGAAACCTCTCATGGTGCCCCCTTTCCATTTCCCTAATAGAGCCTGGGTCACTTGCTTCATTTTCCTTTTAATCTATGAATTTCAAATCTACTTTGCTCTTTTTCTGCCTCCAGTTTCTCCCCTTTGTAATTTGATGTCGCTCACCTTTGCCAAATAACTTTGCTAAAACAGAGACAGAAGCATATCAATTCTGCTAAAAAAACTTACAGGTTACATGTAGCATTAAGTTCGAACTACCCAGGATAACTTTTTAAGAACATCCATAATCATGATACCTTTCTGTCCTTTTCCTACTCCAGTTGTGCAGGTCTGCTCAATTACATTCTGAAATTCGTCCCTGCACACCAGGCTCTCCCAAGCCCAGCCGTTCTGCCTTGCCTTTATAAACTTCATCCTATAAATCCATAAAAAGTCATCTCCATAGTCTCCTCTCCCAGTATTTTTTGGACACCCCATCACAGATACCTCTGTTATACTCTCACATACATTAGGCTGATACACTGATCCTAATAATTATATTAAGGTTAATTTCTTGCCTTTTTGGTTTCCTTTTCAACTATGAACTATTAGATGACAGAAACCATGTCTTATTTTCTGTCCTGTAGAACCCAAATGCCTAGTGCATTTGTGGGTGTATAGGAGACATGGACTGCTTTTCTATTTTGCTTAATTGAATCTGCCTACTCTTATCCAAAGAGGCCACGGGATACCTGCTCCTAAAACTTGTGCACACTATATTTATATGTAAAATAGGGGCAGTGTTTAGAATAGTATTGGCTCTACCTACTTCTTAATGTCCATATTACAAAAAAAAAGACTGGATTAAAGGAACAACAAATAACATTTGTTACAAGAAGCATTCCAATTTTCCAGTAAGAATGGAGTCATGCAAACAGTGCAATATAGATTTCATAAATAAGTTAATGCAACCTTTAAAAGTGCATGTGATTCCCAGACATAAGAAACATGAACCATGGATATAGTCAAATAACTTCAGGAGTATTTCCAGGAACAAAAATAAATAAATAAATAAAGGAAGGAAGGAAGCTTAATAAAATACCAAGTCTGAGATCCCGTGAGATGCGTACAGCTGAAGCTTAGACACAATGGGCCCATCACTACATTCATTCCTCATCAGCAAATGTTGGTAAAGATTTAAAGAACAGAAAATTAAACCATGTTTTGCCTGTGAAAGTTTTCCCCAGAGTTTCTCATTCTTACATAGGAAATCAATTTGCATCACTGATGATATCATTCAAATCAGACAACCCAGAGTTGTTAAGAGGTAATTTAGCTTTATGCTGAAGCAATTTGAAACTTGTTCTGATTTGTGATTTTCATTTTGTTTGTTAATGAAAAAAATTAATGAACAATGCTACTAGAAATGCAATTCATCAAAGCCTCAGCAGTACTAAAGAGGTTTGCCACCTACTGTACATTGAGTCACTAGGCACCGGTGCCTGGACCTCCACACTTTGGAGGAGCCATCAATTCACGAGCATAGGCAAGAGCTCAGGGTACAGGTGTCCTGAGTACAGTTCACATACCTTTGCATTGATTTGTGTTTTTGTCAAGAATTGCCTTTGTGGATACAATTTTTCCATACCTGAAAGAGAGAGAGAGAGAGAGAGAGAGAGAGAGAAATCCATGTTATTGTAGCCCAATGAAGACACTTAAACCACCTTAATGAACATCAGTGCACACACAGTTGAACAGGAAAAAAACAAGAAAACAAACTCTGAACTCCCATTTCACACCTGGATGATCTCTTTTCACCAGTTCCTCTTTATAACTTGAGAATGTGCTTCCCTACGTAATCGCTGGGTTGAGCCTTCAAAAATAAACCTGTCAGGCTGTCAGAGGTGGCTGAAAGGGGATTGCGTTTGATTGTGATCAAAGTAAATCACACTGCGTGGATTCATGGAAAAAAACCACAGACCTTGGCACCAGGTTGAACGGGGCTCATGTTCAGCTCTGTGCTTACCTCGTGCTGTGACCCTGAGCCACTTAGCATACCCCTCCAAGCCAATTTTTTCATCTGTAAAAATGAGAATGTAATAATCACCTTTCAGGATTTGGGAGCAGGCTAAGTGGAAATATTGAGATTCTCTAGCAGTGCTCCAAAGATAAGTGAGACAATTTTTGCTACTGAAAATATACTATAAGTTAATTGAGGATAAGGGCTGAATTCTGTATTTTCAATGCCTGGCTTCATAGTTAATAGAAGCTCACTAAATGTTTGCTATAAATAATATTTTTAGCAGGTTACCAATGTTACTTTATCTGCAACAAAGTTTCTACCATAAATATCTGTATACATCATAAATGTATTCATTATTTTACCATCTCCTGCAGAAGACCTAGTCTAGGTTTTATCTTTTAAAAGATGAGTAATATGGAAAATGAAACTTAATTTACATGAGCCTACTGTCTGAGGTATAAATTGTGGGTCTGTCTAAAATGATTCCTAAAACCCTGTCCTTTAGGATTCCATGAAGAATGCTTCTGTATCAACAATAATAACATGGAGAAGTTGTAATGCCAGGTTAAGTGCCAAGTTTATTAACAACTCATAGTCTTCCCAAGATTTCAGCTATGGTCCCAAAATATGTGGCAAGTTTCTTCTAATTCTGGGTTCCTAAGCAGTGGAAAAATATAGGACAAATATTAAATATTACCTGTATTAATGAACTTGGTTCCTGAACATTAATGTTTCTTTTGCATTTGCAATCACTTTTTACTGTATCATTGATTCTTTGGAGCATTTTGATGATCACTTATTAAAAGGCTAGTGTGGATAATAGCATAGTACTGAAAATACCTTTGCCTCTTTCCCTCCCACCCCCACATCTTTTGACCAAAGATGGACTGAAGGTCCTCTAGAAACTGATGGGATTATTGTCATCATGAAAATGATACCACCTTTTACATGGCAAATGATTCCCATAGGATCTGAGCTATTGACAGGTCACAATAGGAACAAAAATATTTGTGTGTAATCAGATGAAGGGCTCTGGGACAATTGCTACCAGTCACATTGAAAGCTCATCCCTTGTTAAAATCAGCCAGAACTGGGCTGGAGCTGTCCAATACTGAATTGAGCACATTTTACCAGCATAACCTTGATGTTTCAGCTGCTTACATCCTTGATATCACTCCCTTTTCCGCACCATTTTAACTATAACCCTCCAGGTAACTAAATCAAAAAGGGTTAGGGCTGACAATGTCTCTTACCATTTTGTAGATAAAGAACATATGGTCTAAAAGATTGGCACCTTGATCAAAATCACATAATTTGTGAAGGTTATAGCAAGGACTAGAATATGGGATGCCTAAGTTTGGTCCAGTGTTTAAGTTAACTGTTATATCATGTTGCCTCTAAAACAGAGAAGCTGCATATGTCAAATTTTCTAGTTCAATTAAACTTCAAGACTTTGGGAATCCAGGTATTGGACTCCAGGGCAATGGAGCACCGTAGTTAAAAGATACATTGTGGCAGCAAACTGCCATGACACAAAATCTCAAGTCAGCCTGAGTAGAGTTCATTGGCTCAGTTGTCTGTGCTCTTTGCATCACTTCATTATCTGTAATAATATAAGTTTCTTTTAAATATTGATTTAGATTATGATTTATTTAAAATCATATACATCTATTTATAAGTATACAAAATGATGACAATAGTCTCTGCCTCATCGGGTTGTTGTGAGTGTTAAACGGGGCTTACCTAAAATGCTGGTAACAGTGGCTGGTAGAGGGTAAATGCCCATTAAATATTAGCCGTTTTTAAAATTACTCTCTTCCTATTATCTGCTATACCAGAATGTCTCCAGTCCTTGGCATTCTCTGAAGCAGGTAAGAATTAGAAGGGGGTCCAAAGGTTCTCTTCCAAATAGTAGTTTAAAACATTACTATTTAGAGTGCCAAAATCTTCCACTAAGAAATTTGGCACATAAAGTGATTTGCTAAAAGGATCATTTATATTTACAATTTATATGGTTATTTTTAATATTAGGGAGTTCATCAACTATGTTCTCACTGTACTTAGTTTCACACATACACACTGGCTTTAAGCTTTTCTGGTTTGTTTATACTACAGAAATGTCTCTTACCTCATGCCTATTATTATTATGCAAAGCCCACTCCATCCAAAATTCCCCATCACCCCGTCTTCCCCCGACAATAAATACATATAGCCTCTCTTTGAAGCACTGTTTCATCCCAGGAGTTTCTTTCTTAGGAAAATAACCAGTAAACTGATACATGTGAACTGTTTTTTCAGTCAACACTGGTTAAAGGTGCTGATAATCATCCCAATGAACTACAGTAGCGTTTGCTAGGTTTGGGTTGCAGGAGGCAAGCAAACATTTGCAAAATTGTAAGTATCTTAGACGTGAAGACAAAAAGAAAGAAGAAATAGAACATTTGCTGAAACTTGGTTTTTCCACACAAAGCACCATTAATACAGTATAGGAGAAGTAAAAACCGAGGAAGAAAAAGAACGTAGAACATTTTTAACCTTCTCACACAAACCCTTAAGACAAAAATCCTTCTTAATTGGTTTCTAAGGCTACTCCTGAAATTTTTATATAAAGACCTTCTAAATTAAAATTTAGCTCTGTGTTTTAAAGAGGAACTTAAAATTACTGTGTCTCATAATGAATTACATCTCACAATGGGACTTTTGACCCATGGTGTGTGTATTGTCTTACCATATCAATATTACAAGGATGCACTCTCCTTTAGGAAATGTAGTATGTATAAAATGGCTATCATTTTTTACAGAAAATAGAAAAGAATGTTATTTCCCAGAAAATATTACAATAGTACTTTAAATGGAAAATCTCACACACACAGCAAAAGCAAATTATGCTATTTCCTGACTTCCTTATTAATTACACTCTAAGCAAGACTTCCCAATAATAGAGAATCACGAAACAGTGATACACAATGCTGAGTACCTGATTCAGCTTCTACTCTGACTGGAGTTACAGGAATTTCATTCCTGGGTGCAGTTAACAATATTCTGTATTAATAATTATTTTATAAAGCTAGAATATGCTTTAAATAACAAGAAAAGGTGTTTAATGGGCCACTGGTTCCAATTCATGTCTGAACTCTCACAATGACACACAGGTGCTTTCTGCATGACTGGTGCTGTATTCTCCACGCTGCAAAGTCAACAACTGATGTCGGTAAATGAAGTTTAGGCTTTTTAAAAACAGATCCAAACCACCATAAACACAAAACCACCAATATAACAGACCTGCGAAGAATTACATCAAATCCCTCTTCCTGATGTTTTGACAAACTGCACTAATAGACCAAAAACTGGTGTACAAAGTAAAGATACCCTTTCGCCACACACTCTGAAGAAAAAGAAATATTTCTGAGATAAAATGTATTCCCACGCCTACATCACCTCACTTCTTTACTCTTTGCCTTCTTTGAGTGTAGATCACCACCTTAAGTGTTCATAAAGGTTTTTCTTTAGGCCCCCCCATGAATGGAAAGCAAAAAATCTGATACTGGGGAAAAACATGTGATGAAATAAGTGGATGAAGCCTGGAAGTAGATACCTGAGCTCTGGCTGTGGGTGTCTCCTGACTCTGGAAGCTTTCAGACAAATCCAATTCACGTTTCTATGCCCTCATTCCTACAGCTAGAAGAGATAAAATATTATCTACAGTTGACTTCCTTGGGGGTTTCAATTGCTGCCGGGGAACAGACAAATGAATGAACACATTTTATACTACCATTCCTTCCATCTGGGTGTTCAGTTCCATCTCTAGGCAAATGGAAAAGCCCCACATACAACATGGCTAAGATGTCTTTTGACATACATATATGTCACTCTGTATCATAACGATATATTCAACAGCTATCCTGAGTGCTCTGACATCCTCCAAAAACAGCCAGGTCTGAAGTAGCATTCTCTTTATATCCTGTAAAACATGCCTGATACTCTGTAAAACAGTAGCCTATCTATCATCACTATGTGTTTACATTTTGAGTTTTTGTAACTGAGTTCTGTAAATTCATGTGTTGTCCATCAACTTTTAAAAATACATTCACCCTGATGAGTCAATTCGAGTTTTACATTTAATTTTTTAAATACATAGTCAATTATTTCTGGCATTTATTCTTATTCTGAAACAGCATCTGAGTCCAGCTATGTTGGCTGATACACTCAATAACTCCACATACAAGCCTAATCTGAACTAACGGCATCTTTTATTTTCCAAAGTTGAGAAGAAAATAGAGCTATTATGGGTCTACTCTTCATGAATTATGAAGACATCAAATTGGTAGGATCTTTCTATAAAGAATTTATTTTTAAATCCTTTGGCTGAATCACCCACTGTGTATATTAATTTAAAAAATACAGTCAGAGACTGAAAATAGAGTCTCCACAGTCAATTAACTCCCAGCTAATTCATTTTTCACATGCCTTCTATATTGATACCAGACTGGAAAAATGTATTACATTTATTTAGTGGATGAAATATTCTCCTTTGGGCAGACGTGTTTGCTTGCTAACTTGCAGATGGCTTGCCCATTCTCTGCCTGTGGGATGCTAGCAGAGGACATCTATGGGTTAGGGACCCA